ATAAGTAAAATAGAAAAATACCAAATTAATGTACACAGGGCTTTTATTTACCTTTCAGCAAAAGCTGGAGCAAATGTTTGCTATAATTTTTTGAAAAAATCTATGGTAAAGTTTTCCTAGCCCATATGATTTGCCTCTGCTAAGAAATAGTTTTTCGCATTTTCTGACAAACGTGTAATTTTGAGTTGTGTCACCTTTGAAGATCGTCGAATTGATAAATATCTACCTTCACGTGGATTATTCATGACACTTAAAGAACTGATTAGAGTTGAAAAAGAACCACTTTATTTTATGGGCTCAGCGCCAAACGCACCTAAACTGATTAGTCAATATTTCGCCCATTCTAGTAGTTCTTTGGAAATCTGCTGTTCGCAGAGATTTATGATTTTTACTTTTCCCTCCCTAAGCCCAACAGGTTTCTTTTATCAACTGTCGCCATGACTTTTGCCACCTGCCTTCATATACTCAAAATAATTAAGTAAACTTTAGGGCTGGGAGTTCCATCCGGATTTTTTGAATATCCAGATAATCCGGATATTCGAATATCTGCTTAAAAACCCGAATATCCGATTAATATCGCACAACTGCAATATTTGTTACAAGGTCGTGTAGAGCTAATTAATAGCACTTTCCTCTCTGATATTCATGTTGGCGAGCCCTAAGGGAATATCCACCCAAACCTTTTATCTAATGCAAGATAGACCCTAAAAACTTTTATTAGAATCCTTGTCTCCTGTACACTTTGGCATCTTCTAATATACGCCATCTAGCTCAGGTGATTTAAAGTCGTCCAAAAAGGCTAGAGAAAAGTTTACTTGCTCCTCAACCCCACCAGCCATGATCCTAGGCACCAGTTTAGTGTGACCGCTCTTCCCGCCGCGATATCCACTTCCATATATCCGCCTGCGTCAGAAATTAACCTGTTACGCGGGGATCCCAAAGAGTGTGTTGTAATTGCTTAGCAACAGCAATTATTTCTTACGACGATTCCAACTTATTGACACTGCATAAGTGCACTTACAATGTACCAGTAAAAATTCAATCATCAGATTTGTAAGTTTCACCAATTCAAAAGACCGAATAACTATAACCCAAATCGTGTTCCCATGTTCTATTTTACAAGTCAGTAGTACCATATTTTTACACATACTTAGCTATCTTATCATAACCAACCAAAATACGTTTTACGTATAGAAAGTAATACTTTTAAGATAGCTGGCACTGAGCTGTGAGTGTTCTCATATACATACAGTAAAATTAATTGCATACCGCATTTATCACTTGCACTTCTCGCTAAAAAAAAAAGAGTGTTTTTAGTTTTCCTGCCATAATGCCGCTTCCACCGCTTCAATTTTCTCTCGCAGCCATTGCCGCAAACTCCACACATTCGCGTATACGCCCGGATATTGCGGATCTCCGCAACCAAAACCCCATGACACCACCCCAGCCAACTTGCCATGAACCAACAGCGGGCCACCTGAATCCATTTGACAGGAGTCCTTACCACCTACATCCAATAAACCAGCACACAACATGGACTCATCAATCATGTCAGGGTAACGCAACTTGCAAATCTCATTTCCCACAATGGGCACCTTCGTCTCACGCAACAAATCGGAAGCAGCGCCACTCTCTGTTGTTAAACCCCAACCGGTTATTGTTGCAATGTTGTCGTGCTGCGGTTCTTTCTCCGTCAACTCGATCGCTTTCATGGTGTAATTGTTTAACGGTAGTGCCGCCGCAAGCACCAACAATGAAATGTCATTAACAGCTGTGTAGGGATCGTAGCGTTCGTGTATTATAATCTCTTGTATGGGAATAATTATGCCCTCAGTGCCGTTACGTTGGTTTGCACCCGGAACAACTTTGAACTGACTAGGCACTTCGCCGTCAACGCAGTGTGCTGCCGTGATAACAATACGCTCGGAATAGATACTACCACCGCATAGATGGTCGTAGGATTGTTCTGGATGCAAAATGTCCTTTTCACGCAAACTTATCTGATGTGGGTAACGAGTTATATCTACCACTCGGCCGCCCACAATTCGTGGATCCATTGGCTGGTTTAATTTATAGATTGAGCGCGATTCAGGCCTTGCTGCTGCGGAGGACTTACAATTAGTAATTAACGCGATAAACGTAAAAAATATATAGTACAAGTGGTATGACATAGTTGACTCTTAGAAGTACCAAAGGCTACTGGCGTGATGAAAATCGAAATTTTGATAGTTTGCTTGCATCACAGTTTTAAGATATCTTACTTTAATTTATTTTTTAATTATGAGAGTACTTATGAAAACTAGCACAACTTGAAGATTGGACATTGTTAAGTGATAATGTTCAATGTTAACATAAGTATTTGCTGCTAAGTATCTCTTTTGATTTTTCTTTCCATATTGACGGTTTAAAAACATGATTGTATTCAAAAGCTCTTTTATAAAATAGAAGATCGGAGTTATCTGTTTTATTTATAGGTACAGTGAAACCCGCTTAAGTAACCAACATTTTTGGGCACCGTGAATTTTTTCATGTAATCTGAAGAAAACCCCTCTCTTAAGTACCTCCTCGCCTATTTACCCAACCCGCCTAAGTACTTAAATTTTTCGTACCCCATTTACCGTTTTACTGATAATTTTCCCCTTTTAAGTGCTCTTCTTAAATTTCTTAAAATATTTACATATTTTAAAATTCAGGGACAGCGCTACATCATATTGATTGCTACCGTTAGTATAACAACATGCAAGTTTCAACTCGGACTAAGCGAAAGTGCTCGGAAGTAGACTCGGACTAAAATTACGGCTGCTTTTCAAATAACGGTAAATTTCCGAAATACTCGAAACTTCAATATTTCGAAATTTAAAGACGCTAATTTACTCCAAATTGATACTTAAAACAATCCCTTGAAAAGAAGTAACATTGTTTGGAATTTTGGAAAATGGGCGTGATATCGCCCATATATGACTATATAAGTTTATCTCATTATGTCTAACTGAACGTTCTATCATAGATGTTTAAAATAGGGGTAAAACCACCCCGGCTTACCATGTAGCGGTAGTTTTCGTAAAGGTGGAAAACATATATTTAATACTTGCGCCGGGTATTTAATGTTAGGCTCCGCCAGAGCTTAGACTTTCTTACTTGTTTTGGTTAAAATTAAAAAAATTATGATTATTTTTCGTCCCTGCCTAGAAGTAAAACGAGTTGGTTAGATTCCCTTAGATCGGCGAGGCAGACAAAAAGGTGGTGATGAAATGAGAGTCTTCTCGCTCACATGAGGGCGGGGCAGGGACAGAGGTAGTGCTCCACACCGGCCGGCAAACCAATTCTGCTAGCATGCCTTCCCATTAAGCAGTGGCCCGATATATGTATGTCCTGTGCCATATCTTACGGGTACATAGGGGTATACCCGCTGCATGAGAGGAGTTGACGTCAGACAGGGTGGTTCCCTTCCTCCCAAGCTCGTCC